CCTTCCCCCCACCCGCCTGCTCCCGGGCTCGCCTGGCTACAGGTCCTAGCTGGTTTCCTGAAGCGCTGTTTGGGGTAGGATGGGGACGCTAGCGGATAGGGAGAGAACGCGTCCTATTCCTCTCGAGCCGTATCCGGAGACCCTGCCTGCCCGATAGATGGGCTGCACCCTGCCCTGCTGGTCTCGACCGGGGTGCGAGAGCCGCGGGCCTGGGCTGAGGGTCCCTTTTCCCCACCCAGAGACGCGGTACTGACGCTGTCTTGCACAACTAGACACGCATCTGCCTTCCGGTGGGGCAATCACTAACCCCGAGCCATGGGCTCACACACTCAAAATCCACTTTACACATATGTCCACATACAGATGCGCAGGCGCTCAAGCTGTCTAAAGAAGTCGTGATTGCCCGACCGGGTACCAACGTCCTTCACTAAGAAAACTCAAAACATTTTAAACCTGGCAAGGTGATTTTTTTTTTTTGGCATATTTTTCAAATCGGGGTGGGGGGGCAAGGAAAAGAGAATTTTCAGTATTTTAAATGAAAGAAAAAACGAACAACATTCCATGCGTGCCCTTTAAAGTTGGTGCAACTTCCAGAGCAAATCCCTGACACCTGATTTTGGCCTTCTGTTGCAGGAGCTCAATATCCTAGAGAGTATTTTTGGCAAAGGATGAAAATGTATATATCAAAGAATGAAGCATTGCTCTACCTTTTTTTCCTCGCTAAAGGAATAATATGGCCATAAATACAAAAAATACACAAAAACTTCAGGTCTTTGGTTCATTTATTTGTTGATGTTGCCCTAGAAATTAGTATTAAAAGTTTTCTCAAAATAAAATTTGATATGTACTAAAGAATTACATAGCCAGGAAAATGAGTAGTGATTTTTTTATACTGTTCACATGAACAAAACCTTTTTATAGAAATAGGTTTCACTGGATGAGTTCACATTTGTTGTAAAAGTTTAAAGGAAAAGCCGAGTTTGTGGGTGCACACCTTTAATTCCAGCATCACTGGAAGGCTGAGGCGGAAGGATAGCAACTTCAAGCCACACCTGGGCAATTTAAAGAAACACTATCAAAATAAAAAGGGCTGGGGGTGTGGCTCAGTGGGCAGGCCCTACATTGAATCCACAGCATCAAGAGAAAAAAAAATTTTTTTCTTTTGAAGGACTGAAAATGCAGCTCTTGGTAGAATGCCTAGCGTTGAAAGAGGCCCTGAGTCCAAGGGTGTGTGAGGGGGTGTTTCAAACAAACACAAAAAATGGAAAGCTCAAGAAAGCATTATCAAGGTCCCACTGTCCAGAAATACCTATTGTGAAGTCTTTCCTAAGCATTCTTTCAAAAATTCACTCCAGCCGGGATTTAGCACAGTGGTTCTGCCGCCTGCCTCACAAGTGCAAGATCCCGAATTCAACCCCCAGTACCAAAAAATAAAAATTAAAAAAATTCACTCCATATTCATACATGTTGAAGTGCCAGTATATATTCTTTTAATGTGTTTCTGAAGATGGCCAAAAATTCATTAAATGCCATTGATATCTAAGACAAAAAAGTATTCAAATTTTGTAATAGTACATGCCAGAAATTAGGATTTGTTATATTTGAGGGCTCATTTCTTTAGGCAAATGTTAACTACTAAAGTGCCCTTGGCAAAAAGAGAGAGAGAGAGAGAGAGAGAGAGAGAGAGAGAGAGAGCGCTGGGGGCGTGGCTTAGTGGTAGAGCGCTTACCTAGCCCACAGGGGGCGCTGAGTTCCATCACCCGCACCACCCTACGGCTCTGCCCCCCCACCAATATTACAAGAGTTAACATATATGAAAGTATTTTGTAAACTGAAATGCGGGATGAAAGTCAAGACTTCACTCTTCTCATTGGACCACAGGGAATGCTGACTTCTTAGTCCTGCCTATAGGCCATTTTTCAAAGCATTCAGCAAATCTTGGTGGAATGTCATCCATGCAAAGCAGAGCTAATTGCTTTAGAGGTGGTAAATAATCAACCAGGGCCTTTGGCTGCCTTCCACAAATTTACTGTCTTGTTGGGGAGGGAAAAAGAGGTAAATATTTAAACTGAAATTGGAATTCCTCTAATTAATTCAACAAATATGTTTTGAGCAATTATGCCAGATTCTGAGGACACAGCAGTGAACAATACTGATAAGGTCTCTACCTTCGTGGCCCTTGTAATCTAATGGGTGAGGCAAGCAGATAAAGTCAGAGAGTGATAAATGCTATGAAAAAAGAAAGCAGACTAAAGGGACAGTAGCAGTGACTATTTTTAGAAGAGCTGATCCAGGAAGGCTGCTCTGAGGAAGTGATATTTGAGCAGGGACTTAAGTGAGGAATGGGCCATGACCATCTAAGGAATGATCTGTTGGACAGAGGGAGTAGCAAGTTCAAAGGCCCTGAGGCACAAATGTGCTTCAAGTACAAAATGTTAAGGCAACATGATGGAGTGCTGAGTTTGTGTCATATAGAATCCTAAGTATGTCTTCTGGAATATCCCTAAAAATTATTCAGCCCAAAAGAAAACTTATATTTCATATACACAGAAAGTACTCATCTTCCACCACAAATCTGGGAAAGTTCTGCCTCAAAGTAATCTACTGTGACACCCAAAGGAAACTAATTTCAATGATCAATTTATTTACTCCATTTTTTCATACCACAATCTGAAACAAAAGGACAGATGTTTATTTTATTTTTCAAAACCATCTGCATTAGATTGCTGAGCCAAAAATCGTAGCGATCACAGACTCAGCCATTGTCTTCTACAATCTACTGTTCCATCCATTCTCAACACTCTTGTTCCAGTGGGGGGAAACCCTAAAGTGATGGTCTTACCTTGCAAGATTTACTGAAACACCAAAGTTCAATAGAGTAAAATGTGAGTGGAGAAACGAGAAGAAAATTATCCAAGAATCACACCAACTTAAAATTGTTTTTATTGATTTATTAACTTGAGTAAAGCAAAAGGGGAATTATATACACAATCTACCACATGACATTAATAGCATTAATAATTATTCCTGTAACTGAATCTTCAACAGTGTGTCATTAAATTATTGTGCTCTGGAGTTAATAAGAACCATGAATAACAGTCACATGGTAATTTTATCTTCAATGTTCAGGTTATGAAACAGATGTTCTATGTTTCTGAGGGTTTTTTTAGATTTCAGTGAGGTCATTTGTTTTAATAAATAACTGAGCTCGAACACTGACATTCAGTCCTTAAACTATTCCATTTTGTAGAACTTTGATAATCTTTTTTTTTTTTTTTTTTTAAGGTCTCACTCTACTATACTCTTAAGTGAAATAAATCCAACAGACACACATGTTTAAATACCACATTGTTTCTCTGGTGTGAGAAACCAAAAGTGGAAATAAAGACTAAAATGTACAATTGATATTGGAAAATGGTAAGAAAATGTTGAAATGGGAAGAGGAACAAGGGGGGAGAGAGGAAGGAAGGGATAAGAAAAAAAGTGAAAATAGAAGAAAAAATGGAAACAAAGGTTTTGTACATAGGGAGGGAAGGAGACTTGAAGGGGGGGTAAAATAAAATTATTTTTTAAAATAAAAAACAAAATAAAGAAAAGAACAACATTGCTTTGCAAGTCTAAAAAATTTTTTTAAATAAAAAGGTCTCACTCTAATTCAGGATGGTCTTGAACTCACTATGTTTCCTAGACAGGCCTCAAACTCATGATGATCCTCCTGCCTCAGCCTCCTGAGTGCTAGAATTACAGGCTTACACCACCACAACCAGCTTTTGACAATCTTGTATCAGATATTAATATTAAACTTATGAACAATTTTTAAAATTTGCCTCATTTTGCCCAAAATATGTCATTATACAGTTATTTCCTTCCTTTATAAATACAAGGAGGATTTCAAATATGAACATCTTTTTCAATGAGACTTCAAAATAATAAGTAATGTGGAATCTTCCATCTTGTTCAGGACAATTGAAATTTCTTATATTCCTACTGTTCTAGAAACAATTGCTCAGGTTGCACAGTACTCTGAGATCTTTGGTTGTGTGTGTGTGTGTGTGTGTGTGTGTGTGTGTGTATGTTTGATGGTTAATTATATGTGTCACCTTGGCTGGGACACAAGGTCCCAGGTTAAACATTATGCTGCTTGTGTCTGGCAGGGTGCTTCTGAGTGAGATTACATTAGAATCTGGGATGGAGCAAAGCTGACTGCCCTCCCCATGTGGGTGGCACCACCCAGTCCCATCAGCCAGCTCCCTCAGGGCCTGAAGGGAACCATCCAGGCTGAGGAGGGGAAATGTGGTCTCTGCTGGACTGCTGGAGCAGGGGCCTCAGTCTTCTGCCCTTAACTGGGATTTCCAGTCAGCCCTCTAGTTCACAGGACTCCAGTCTTTTCCTGGGTCTCCAGTTTGCAGACAGCAGATCGCAGGACTTCTCAGCCTTTATAAGCATGAGCCAGTTTCTTACAATACATCATAAATAATAACAGCAATAGAGATAGAGAAATAGATCATATTGGTTCTGTTTCTCTGGAGAACCCTATTACTGCACGTGTGTGCGCGTGTGTAAAGAGATTCATTAGGAGGGCAGAGTGGTGCACATCCGTAATAATGTAGTAGACATTTCGAAGTTGCTAATAAAGCATGATTTAAATAGTCACATAAAAATGATAAATACATGAATTGATGGAGATATTGACTTAATTTAATAATTCTATAATATATATATACCAAAACACCAATTACAACCCATAAATATATAATTATTATTTATCAATTTAAGAGTTCTTTAAAACAAAGTTTATTGGGGCTGGGGCATAGCTTGGCTGTAAAACAAGTCTTTAACAGATATGAGACTGAATTAAATGTCCAGCACAAAAAAGAAAAAAAGAAAAATTCACCAAGGTAAATGTACTACTCAATTATTTTTTAGTGAATTCAAAGACTTGTATAACCATCACCACCATCCATTTTAGAATACTTTAGAGCCCATTCATAATCAGCCCCATTTCCCAACCCTAGCCTCAGGTAGCCACAGTGACACTGCTTCCTGTAGATTTGCCTTTTCTGGGTGATCTCTGTTTTGAGTAGTGTTGCCCTAAACTTGACCATGGTGGGCACTAAAGGCCCTACAGTATTTCTAGCCTAATGACAGTGAAAAAAATTATATCCAGAATAAGCACATTGTCTCATCATTTTTGACCAAGCTGTAAAAAGTCCATCCATTTTTCAGATTCAAACTTTGGTAAGGCCTTTAAGGCAACTCCTACCTTTGTGTGTGTGGTGTGTGTGTGTGTGTGTGTGTGTGTGTAGTGCTAGGGATCAAAGCCAAGACCTAAGCATGCACTCTACTACTGAGCTACATCTCCAGCCCTCCCTCTTCACTGTTGATAAAGGAAGCAGGGCCCTTGACCACAAGCTTGTGAAGCAGATGATGCTCCCTGGGAGCTACTTTGGAGAGAAAACTCAGAACCAATCAAGGCTGTGCACTGTACTATTTTACCTTTCAGATTCGTAACTGGCAGGAAGTCTGTGGCCACCGCAGACAGGAACACTTTGCTTTAGAAGGAGCTCACAGATAACTGCTATGTCCCCAGTCATTATGCAGTGTAAGGAGAGCTGTTCCATTTCTAATGACAAAGCTCTTGATAAATGTGTAAGGCTCACTTGGGAATATACTCTCGTCAGAGCCTATATAGGGTCAAATGCAGTACAAGCCTTCTTTTAGAGAGTTGCCTTGGTCATTAAAAAGGACTT